AAAGTACGTATTGATAGGTACATACTTATTGCCATTTTGTTAATTATTTTTGGCTGTTTTTCTGGTTCTACTGTGTTCCTTCTTCTCTTGCTCACTTCCCTTATGATTTGATGATTTTCTTCAGTGTTATGTTTGAATTCCTTTCATTTTATTTTTTGTGTATCTATTACAGGTTTTTGGTTTGTGATTACCATGAGGTTCACATATAATACCCTATGTATGTAACAGTATGTTTCAAGTTGATGTTTGCTTAAGTTTGAACACATTCTAAAAGCACTACATTTTTACTCTCCCCCTCCCTGTTTTACATTTCTGCCATCATATTTCACATCTTTTTATTTTGTGTATCCTTTAACTAACTGTTGTAGATATTGTTGACTTACTACTTTTGTCTTTTAACCTTCATACTAGCTTTGTAAGTCATTCATCTACCACCTTTACTATATGTTCACTATTACAATTAGATTTTTTCTTTCAAAATTTTCTATTCTTTTCCACTTAAAGAAGTTCCTTTAACATTTCCTGTAAAGCAGGGTTAGTGGTGATGAACCCTTTTGTGTGGGAAACTCTTTATTTGTGCTTCAATTCTGAATGATAACCTTGCTGGGTAGACTGTTTCTCTTTGTGGGTTTTTCCCTTTCAGCACTTTGAATATATTGTGCCACTCCTTTCTGACCTGCAAAGTCTGCTGAAAAATCAGCTGACAGTATTAGGGTGTTCGCGTGTATGTAACTAGTTGCTTATTTCCTGCTGCTTTTGATATTTTCTCTTTAATTTTTGACATTTTCATTATTTTGTAACTTGGTATGAACCTCTTTGGGTTCCTCTTGTTTGGGGCTCTCTTTCCTTTTTGGACCTGGATGTCTGTTTTCTTGCCCAAGGTTCTCTTTCCTTTTTGGACCTGGATGTCTGTTTTCTTGACTGTTTCAGCTGTAACTTCTTTAAGTAAGTTTTCTGCTCCTTTCTCTTTATCTTCTCATTCTGGGACCTTTATAATGCAAATGTTAGTACCCTTGATATTGTCCTGAAGGTCTCTTGAACTATCCTCAGTCTTTTTTTTAAAGATTTTATTTATTTATTTGACAGAGAGAGAGAGAGAGGGAGAAGCAGGCTCCCTGCTGAGCAGAAAGCCTGATGTGGGCTTGATCCCAGGACCCTGGGATCATGACCTGAGGTGCCCCAACTATTCTCAGTTTTTGAAATTCTTTTTTCTTTTTACCATTCATCTAGGGTCATTTCTATTACCCTGTTTTACAGATTGCTGATCCATTATTCTGCATCCTCTAATCTGCTGTTGATTCCCTCTAGTATATTTTTCAATTCAGTTATTATATTCTTTGGCTCTGATTGGTTCTTATTTTATATTATTTCTTTCTTTCTTGAAATTCTTGCTGTGTTGATTAATTCTTCACCTGAGTTTGGTGAGCATCTTCATGACCATTACTTGGAACTCTTTATCAGGAAGATTGCTTGTCTCTTTTTCATTTAATTCTTTTTCTGAGGTTTTGTCTTGTTCTTTCATTTGGAACATATTCCTCTGTCTTCTCATCTTGCCTCTTTGTGTTTGTGTGTTTTAGGTAGATCAGCTACATCTCCTGGTCTTAAAGGAGTGGCCTTCTGTAGAAGGTGTACTGTGGGGCCCAGAAGTGCAGTCCCCTACTGGTCACCAGAATCAGCACCAGGGGTGTCCTTTGTGTGTTCCCTCCTATTTTGGGTGAGCCACAACTGTTGTGGGCTCATGGTGGATGGGAGCCCCTTTGGGGGAGCACCAGTTAAGGCAGAGATGGCCTGGGGGTTGTGCTGGGGTGGGAGCTACTTTGGGGGCTGCCTTCCAGGGTGGGGAGAGTTGAGCGGGCAGGTCTGCAGGGGAATACCAGGGTGGGGCTAGCAGTGCTAGTAAGGTAGATAGAGAGTGTCAGAACTCTTTCTTACCAGTACTAGGCCAGCTAGGTAGGGTGAGAAAAATGGCATCTGCCCATGCTTCCCTTCCTGGAGAAAGTTCCTGCAGTTCCCTGCAGCTCTGGCACATGCCCCAAAATTAGTCAGTCAATCTCCTTTATGTATGGCCCAGGCACTTTTCAAACTGCTGCCTCTGCACTAGGTCTTAGAGTGAGTATGTGGATGGGTCTTTTAAGAGTGGAGTCTTGTTTTCTTATAGCCCTCTGGCTGTGTTTGGATTAAGCCCTGCTGATTTTCAAAGCCAAACATTTTGGGACCCATCTTCCTGGTGCAGGTCCCCATGGCAAGATTGCCCCATGTGGGTCTTGAACCCCTCACTCCACAGGCAAGACCTCCCTGCATGTGATATCCCTTCCACTGCCATGCTGGGGGTGTGGGTCCCGATCAGACCGCTTCTCTGCCCCTCCTCTGCTTCTCGATGTGACTTTTTCTTTCTAGCTGTGGAAGAGTTGTTCTATATGTAGTTGTAGCCTTGGTGTGTCTGAGGAGAGGTGAGCTCCAATCTGCCATCTTGATCCTCCTGGGAAGCAGTTGTTTCTTTCTTTAAATAGGCCTGCACAGCATCATACATTCCTTTGAAGGTAAGGGTCATTTTAATTACATTCTTAGCTGACAAGAGAAAGTTAAAGGATTAAAAGAAAAACCTCTATTTTTAGAAGCTGAAATTGGAACCATGCTTTTGGCATTGATGGTGAAGAGAAGCCTGGTAATTTAGGACTTGAGGCTTTATATTCTGAGTCCTTCAGTCCACGGTCCTATTTTTAGAAGTAGCTGGTTTTTATGCCTGCCTAGAAAGTCATCTATAGTGGAATGGAGTCAGTTTTTTAAAAAGAACTTAGAAATACTAAAATAATGTAGATGTTTTCAGTTCAAAGTTGAATAACTTGACACAGTAATTGAAAAGGATAGTAATGGAAGAAAGAATAAAGTACAGCTGTACATCTTCAAATAAGAGATAGGAATCAGAACAGTTGTGGGTGACCGACTTTCACTCATGTGAGCTGAAGAAAAACCCACTGAAACACTTCAGAATAAAAAAACATTAAATAATGGATTTGACAGCATCAGTGGCTAGTATAACCATGTACCTTTTTCCCCTAATCAATGATATTTTGAGTGTATGCCTTTTTTAATCATTAAGGATTTCATCACATCCCTAGGTTTTCAAGACTTTTTAAAAAAGATTTATTTATTTTTAGAGAGAGAGAGCACGAGAGCAGGGGGAGGGGCAGAGGAAGAGGGAGAATCTTCAGCAGACTCCCTCCTGAGCATGGAGCCCCACCTGGGGCTCGATCTCACAACACTGAGATCATGACCTGAACTGAAATCTGTCAGACACAACTGACTGAGCCACCCAGGTGCCCCTGCTTTACTTTTAAATTACTCTGAAGGTTTTATGATAAGGCCTCTGTCTTGAGAATACTATCTCTCTTTGTTACATACAGTATTTCTACATGGAAAACTTAAAACATACTTTTCTTCGATGCTGCAGACATTCGTTTATCATCCTCCTGAAGGGCCTGTTGCTTAATACGCTCATCACTTGTCTTTGGTGATAAGGTAAATAGGAGATAAGGGAGGCAGCCCTTGGAAGAGGTGAGCTGATAAACCTTGAAGAGCTCAAAGCTTATCAGTGGATGAAAACAGCATCTCCAGCTCCTCTTTATGCAAATTCCATCTTATAAGCAGCTATATTCTTTAGAGACTCTACTAGAAACTTGTGTGGAAAGTAGTCCATCTCCCCACATATGGCACAGAGCACTGCATTGGAGCTCCCCATGTCTGCTGAACACACTTCCTGTTAATAGGACCTGAAAACCCACCCGCCCAGTGAGTCACTCTAAATTATGGATGAGAGAATGCCCTGTTTTCACTTACACTTACCAGGGGATATTGTCTTTGGTTAAATTCATTTGTCTCTTTCAAATATGTGCATGAGTGATAAAATCATACCAGTCAGCTGACTGCTGAAAGTCTGATCTTATTTAATTTTGATATTTGCTGTTTATAAACGTAAGCCTTTGTTATCAGATTAGAAAAGATGAAAATGATTCTGCAAATATTCAATATCATCAAGAATGAAAGGAACTGAACACTGTCTTCTTACTTTCACTGTAGTGGGAGGACAGATTGGTAAAGTCTTTCTAGGGGCAGTTTTATAATAGGTGTTCACATTTAAAATACATATGCTCTTGGACCTAGCAATTCTACTTCTAAGTGAGTTTGAGGAAATAGTGGACAGGTGGGAAAAGATATGTGTATAAGAATTTTAACATTTATTTATTTGTTTATGTATGTATTAAGATTTATTTAAGAGAGAGAGCACGACAGGGGGAGGGACAGAAGGAGAGACTCTCCCGCAGTCTCCCTGCTGAGCGTGGAGCCTGATGTCGGGCTCAATCCCAGGACCCTGAGATCATAACCTGAGCTGAAACCAAGAGTGGAATGCTTAACTGACTGAGCCACCCAGGCACCCTTAATTTTAACATATATAATGGCAAAAAAGTGGGGGGCAGGAAACAAGTATTTTTCAATAGAAGATTAAATTATAGCACTTCATACAAGGGAATATTATGATACTGTTAAAAAGGACATTTCATGTTTATAGGCATTGGCATTAAAAAACATTTGTTATACACTACTACATGAGAAAAGATTACAAAACCATGTGTATAGAATGATCTGACTTTTATTTTTATAATATATATTTATGGATGTTTGTTTTAAAGTTTGGTTTTACACAAAATTGCTGTTTACAGTGGTTATTTTTTGTGGGAGGATCTCTCCAATTCTAATTTGTACATTTCAGTATGGTTTAAAATTTTACATAAACTTGTATTGCTTTCATAGTTAAAGAAAATAGTCAAGATATTTACACGTGAAGAACAAAAGAATATATCCCTTTAGAGTGGGCAGTATACCACTGCTCCTTGTGTAGCACCCCTTCCTTCCTGGGCTGTCTCCCCAGCATTTGAAGTGTGTCACAGTGATGAGTGATCTCAAATCCCTTTTATCTAGTTTGGCACATTTTCCCTCCACAGTGAGAAGATTGCTTACCTCTGGCATCGTGATTCAGGTGTTCCCACTGCATGATAATGAAGCCCTAAAGAAGCTGGAGGACAGCTGGTACACCCGGTTGGCTTTGAAGTATCAGCCCTTAGGTACATGTCAATACCTGTTCTCATAGAGAACGAGGAGTGCTAACGAGGCGTCCTGATTCAGCAGTGGTGCTTTCTCACCATCTCGGGTAGATGTTTAATGCTCTGCTGGGCAAGGCTCACCAGCTGCATGGGCAAAAATTGGGGTTGGATAAGATGGTTTACATGACCTACTTAGTAATTTATTTTATTTCTAATAGCATTTCTTATGGGCCGAATGACAGGCTTTCATTAAATTTCACCAACAGCACAGGCTGTTCAGGGTGGCCTTCATAAGTACATGTCCGCGTTGGTGTAGGACAGATTTTAGGAGAATTTCATTTGACTGTGAATATCCTGTATTTGAAAATTTCTCTTTCTTTAGAGCTAATAATTTGAGTGGACCAAGCTGTGCTCATTTTTAGGGGCAGACTAACAGGCCTAAACATCTTTTGAGGTAGTTTGTAAGGATCTTGGTGCATATTACTGAATCTATCCCTTTTCTCTGAATACAGTTATGAGAGTACCCATTAATTTATTTGGTATGTGTTGAGCATTACTGTATGCAAACTGACATCAGTGTGGGTATTCAGATTTTTGGCTTAGTTATGTTTCTCTAAGCATAAGGATTATTAAGCTGTTAGATTTTACCATAAGCGTTGCTATCCATATTTCTTTCAAGGGCATTTCTCTTTTGACTTTGTTTAAAGGAATCCCTCTAAAATAATTTTATTTCTAATTTCCATTCCTAAAAACAGCTACTATAATATTGTAACAGTAAATAAAAATTTGTTTTTAAAATGAAAATTTGAAATTGCATTAGAATTTTTTCTTGTATCCTTTGAAAGGAAAAGCTTGTTTTTAATAGTTCGAGGTAAATACACTAGTAGTTTTGTGTTACACTTATTGACATTTTTTTCACTTTGTGTGGCATTTAGGTGCAGTAAATTTAAGTATTGCCCCTAGCACTTGTAGGTGACAGTATCCAGTAGCTGCTTAGAAAGTGAGGGGAAAAGTGAGTTGATGGTGAAGGCTGAGCATGGTTGTGGTAGAGGGTGTGAGGCTTTGGGGGGTGCTGGGACTGGTGATAGCAGCTGGGGCACAGGTGAATCTTGACCTTCCCCTTAAGATCAAAAGAGGGATGTCATGTGATTTGGAGCCCAGAACCCTGAGCACTGTTTTTTTTTTCATTGTTTGGATATCCTTTGACCTGATTCAGATTTGAGGTGACCTGATCATACCAACTATTTTAGCATGTCCGTAGGTTAGTTAGAAGAATAAGGATAGGGGAAAATAGCTTATACCAGTTTACTCTGACCCATCTGCACAGACGATCTGACACATTTTCTTGAAGTTTTAACTGCATATAATTAACCAAGAAATAATAACCCCATTATTGGACCTCCCCAGCCCCTGCATCGCACCCTGATCCCAGTGCAGGATGCTTTTACAACCCAGGCACTCACCCAGGTAGATGCAGCTGGCAAAGAATGTAGTGTTTTGAGACCCCTTTTGGGTTAGCTCCTGCCAAGTTCATAGAATATTTAACAGTGATGTTGCTTGTCCCTTCTTTTGCCCAGTTCTTATAGGAAGGTATAGAGATAAATGTGTCCCATGGCTGTTCTAGAAGTTAATGTGTAGAATATTGTTTTGTACTTTTGAATAGCTTTTCTCCAGTGTATTGAATCATTTGCCATGGCACATTGATGAAAATTTACATTTTTGGATAGCGGGAGCAGATACTGTGGATGGGGAGTCTTCTGTGAAAAGAACATCTATAACTATGATATTAAAGTGAGAGAAAGGCAGGGAATATAAATTAAACCCACAAATTAAAATGGCTCATTGGCTATGGCTGAGTTTAAGCTAGGATCGTAGAGATTTGGGACAAGCCCCAAGCTGAGTATTTCTTTGGGAAGAGGGCATCCATCAGATAAGGAAGTAAAGAGGAAACAGACCCCGGGTGCCTTTCAGAGCAGCCCCGGCCTGGGCTCTAAGCTGGGGCAAGTATTGGGCTCGCTCTCCAGGCAAGTGGGGTCTTTGTACTGCATGGAAGATGGATTTACTATTGCACACTGATTGGGAAATGAGGGTATTAAATGATCCGCACTTAACTACAAAAATAAATAAGCTTACTTGAAATGGTGAAAGTCTTTGGTAGTCTCTACTTAAGGTCTTTTTTTTCCCTTTCGTTGTAGACCGTATTCGTGACTACTTTGGGGAAACAATCGCTCTTTACTTTGGATTTTTGGAATATTTCACTGTTGCCTTAATCCCTATGGCAGTCATTGGGTTACCTTACTATTTGTTTGTGTGGGAAGACTATGACAAGTATGTGATCTTCGCCTCCTTCAACCTGATCTGGTCCACAGTGATCCTGGAAGTGTGGAAGCGTGGCTGTGCCAATATGACCTACAGGTGGGGGACACTTGTCATGAAGAGACAGTTTGAGGAGCCCCGGCCAGGATTCCATGGGGTCCTGGGTATCAATCTTGTCACTGGTAGGGAGGAACCTCTCTACTCCAGCTACAAGAGGCAGTTGCGCATTTACCTGGTCTCTCTGCCCTTTGTATGCCTCTGTCTCTATTTCTCCCTGTATGTCATGATGATTTACTTTGACATGGAGGCCTGGGCCTTGAGTCTACATGAGAGCAGTGGATCCGAGTGGACCAGTGTCCTGTTGTATGTGCCCAGCATCATCTATGCCATTGTGATTGAGATCATGAACCGCCTCTATCGATACGCTGCCGAGTTTCTAACTTCATGGGGTAAGACGTGATGCTTGCATTTATGTCTTATTTGCCTATAGGAAATGTTGCTTGGATTGTAGGATTCCTATAACTGCAGCTTTGCAAAGCAAGATGTTGCTGGGGCTCACTATAGAGACGTAAGGAGGAGTTCATCAGCTTTGTGGGTTCTGATGCTCTCACCTCCCGGTTATTGTGGCCGTCATAGACGAATGTTAGTCACTGCATCCCAGGTGCCCTGCTAACTCTCTGTCTGTGGTATCTCATTTTCACCTCCTCAGCACACCATGAAATAGAAGTTATCTCACCGTTTTAGGGATAAAGACCCTGAGAGTTAGCAATGTTCAGGCAAATTGTAGAGCCAGGCTGATCCAGACCTCTCTGTGTCTAAAACCTGTGATCCCAATACTATAATTTTGTATTTTTTGTTGGGGGTAAAGTAGATTGAATTATCTTCAGATACTTTGGCCAAGTGAACTATGTCTAGTGTCTGAGAAACAATTATCTAATGGTTTAGAGCACCAAGGATTGCCACTGGCCTTAGTAGAGTGGGTACTCTTGTATTTATCTGTGCCAAAGGGGAATGGATATAGTTTAAAAATGGTCTTGGGGCGCCTGGGTGGCTCAGTCAGTTAAGCGTCTGCCTTCGGCTCAGGTCATGATCCCAGGGTCCTGGGATCGAGCCCCATGTCAGGCTCCCTGCTCGGCGGGAGCCTGCTTCTCCCTCTCCTCCCCACTTGTGCTCTCTCTTGCTATCTCTGTCACTATCTGTCTCTCTCTCTCAAATAAAGAAATAAAATCTTAAAAAAATTGTCTTGACAGGCCATTCTCTATTTATTCACTCAGACAAGTAAATATGCGATGTTATTCCCTAGGAAGAAGTCTATATTTTAACTTCATGGACCATAAAGATGTTTATGTTATTTTTAATAGTCATTTAACAGCTATGACAGTCTGGCATGTTCACTCACTGAGGCTCTGGTGCCTGACATCTCTGCCTCAGCTCATCTGCCTTTACTCCACAATGGCCTCCCCTACTGCGTGCTTATCTAAGAGAAATTTCCTCTCCTTTTCAATATTTTAGAGAACCACAGATTGGAATCTGCCTACCAGAATCATCTAATTCTGAAAGTTTTAGTGGTGAGTAGAGTTTTTATATACAAATCCATTTGAATTTTGAAACTTACGTATACTAGTTAATACTTAGGAGTATAAATAGGAAGGCTGGCTTCTAATTTAAGATATCAGATAGTTAATATATTTTGTATAGGCAGGCAAAGATTGATTAAGTGTGTTTACATATACGTTCAGTAGTCTTATTACCTATGTGTGTGTTGTAAGACTTCCAAGTATAGAAATTAGTGGTTTAGCCAATCTCTAGTAATTTAAAAAGCTAATTAACCATGTTACAGACATGTTTCTGTTCTTTTCCTTTTGGTGACTTCTTTGTTTCACTCTTCAACAATTCTTCCAATTCAGTTCAGTGATGGACCATTACATTTTTTGAAAGATGTACCATTAGATGGACTAATTTTGTGAAAGAAATTTCCAAAGTCCAAGAGGTTTCCAGCATGTTTTAGTGGGTAGGAGGAAAGAAATGGAGAGAAGGCATAGTGTAACCTGCTTGCTGTTTGTGTAAAAGCTCACACATTATGCCTGTTTCCATCATTATTAAAAATAATAAATACCAGCTTGGAAGCCCCTCATTTATCAGGAGGTTATCTCAGCCATTGGTAACATAACTGAGGATCAAGAAAGGTGCAGAAAGAATCCTCTGAACTCTCAACTGGAGCACAGCCCCTGTACCTTACTCCCAGGAAAGGATTCCAGAAAAACGAGTTTTTGTTCCAGCTACAGAAGTCATTCTAAGAAGCTTATTGATCTAGTTTTTCAGGCCTTAACAGATTAGAAACTACTGATAGGAAGGTGTTTAGGTTTCTGGAAGAAGGTAAACTTATAGAGGCAAGAGTGGTAAGGAAATAGAAAATTTTTCATAAGTATGTAATAAAAATTCAACAGTTTTAGCAGTTTGGACATTAGAAAAGGTGCAAGCAGCCATACATACTAAAAAGTCTTTGAAGGCATCATGCTTCAAATCACTGTGAGATCACTGATATTCCGAATGCCGGGGCTGTCTGGCTGTCCTGGTATCTCCCCGCGGCACAGGGGAGTGCCAGGCCTTGCAGGGAGCGAAGCACTGCTAGTGAGGACTCCAGAGAGATGCCCCTTGCCAGGTCTGCATGACTCTTCAAATGGACAGGGGGTGGGCCCCCCCACTGGCTATCTGGGGTGCTGTTTGGGGGTGGGAAAGCCTGGGCCTTGTGTTGGAGTGTAGTGGAGATGCGCTGGCACTGTTCTGGAGTCCCAAAGCCGTTGGTCCTCCAGGCTCGAGGCAGGTCCCAGAGAACTCCTTTGCTCGCCCCTTGTGTTCTTTCCAGAGTTTGTGGACGTGCTTAGTGAGGAGGAATAGGGAGAAACAAGTCTATGGCATCTTGTCAGGACTGGAAGTCCCCTCATTACAGTTTTAATGCTATATTTCCAATTTTGATGAAGTACTGTAAAGCAGTGTGAAATCTTGCTCTCTTTTTTTGACAGTTCAACTTTCTGAATTGCTTTGCCTCGCTTTTTTACATTGCCTTTGTCTTGAGGGATATGAAGCTGTTGCGTCAGGTGAGTGAATAGCAGAAGGTTACAGGTTTTAGAGGTACTTTCCTATATTCAGGGAATGTAATTGTCTTCACATTATTATTTTTACAAATGAAGTCTTACATTTTGTATATTTCTAAGCCAACTCTAAATAAAAAAACAGCCATTGTACTGTATATCATGCTCAACTGAAAAATTAGTTGAAGCTAACCAACTTGTAAAATTAATCATATAGTAGTGAAAAATAAATCGTTCATCTCAAAGCTCGTAAAAGCAATTCTAATAAAGAACGCGTATTCCTTAATTGAAGTTTGTGTGTGTCCCAGAGTGAGGGATGATTGATAGGACTTTAAATACATTTCACTTTGAATAAGTTGTTAAACTTTAGAGACCAGCAGATCCTATGCAATGCTGTGTCTTTTCTGCAGTGTTTCAGAAGTCTGACGTTTACTTTGGTGTATTGCCATTCTTGGATCACAAATGCCAGTGAATGATAAATTGAGTACAGATTATTGCTATCTAAATTATCTTTTTTATAATTGAGCCAGCTATCAGTAAGGGCTGTTCCTTCTTGGTTTTAATATACTGTGATCGTTAGTAAAAAAAAAAAATCAAAAGCCTAGGCTTGGGATCATTTTTCAGGAAATTGTATAATCAGAGAAAGATTTTGTAGTTATGGTTCTAACAGCTTGCATAAAAGTGAAATCAAATGCTGTGTTTCTTAACAATACTACATATATTGCTACTTTTTTTGGAAAATTTAAAGTTCAAATTAGTACATTTTGTAATTGATAAGTTAAATGTACATACTGTCTTCTGTCCTGCCATTAGTGTATTAGTAAGGTATGACTTCTCATTTCTAGTACCTTAGAGAGTCTCCTTTTTTAACAGGAGATGAGGGATGAGGATGGGGAGGACTTTTTAAATAATATAATTTTAATACCAGAAAAGGTGGTATGTGATACAAACACTTCTGTCTGCCTGGGGTAAGTAGAAATTGACACAGCATTTCTGGAAACTACTTGGGCAGCTTTGCCAAGAACCTTAATCCATCCCTACGTAGTAAATCATCAGAGATAGAGCAAAGATTCATGTACACAGGTATCCAGGGAGCAGCATTTATAGTAGTGAAAGATGGGAATAATAAAGTCAACAACAGTCCATGGGCCACTTGTATTTTCACATGTGACTGGAAAGAAATATCCTACGATGTCAGGAGTGGTTCCATCATGCTTGTGGAATTATGGGTGGCTTTTTCTCTTTTCTAAGTTTTCTCCAATGAGGGAGGATATATTCGTTTTATACTTTTTTTTAAGTTTGGCCAAACTGCTTTTTTTTCAAAGTTGGCAATATCATGTAGATTATTATGTTGTAGCAAGGATGAGATGACAAAAAAACACAATTTTAAGTAAAATTGTTCCCCTGCCAACTCGTAATTGATTTCTTATTATAATCTTATTTATATCGCAACTTTTTTGTATTTTAATATGTCTTAACTGTGAAAAAACAATAAATTGGAAATATTATTCTAGCACCTAGCTTTTCCAATACTAGTTTTTATTAATAGTATACTATTTGTTGAAGGTTCCATTTTATTTACTATATGATTATACATATACCATGATCTTATTAAGCTACATTGTCAGATTCCATTTGTGTGCTTCTTTTTAGAGCTTGGCCACTCTCCTCATTACCTCCCAGATCCTTAACCAAATTATGGAATCTTTTCTTCCTTACTGGCTCCAAAAGAAGCACCATGTGCAGGTGAAGAGGAAGGTGCAGGCGTTAAAAGCGGACATCGATGCTACATTATATGAACAAGTTGTCCTGGAGAAAGAAATGGGAACCTACTTGGTAAGTTTGAATATTGCTGAATTAACCATTGACTCAAAGGGAGTAACAGTCATGCACGGAGCGTAACAAATGTGTCTAGGTTCACTGTCTCAGATGTGGCTACTTTGTAAGTGTTGTTCCTGCCAGCCAGCGTCCTCACCAAGAGCTACATTAAAGCTTAAAAAAAGGTGGAACTGGGCATTGAAGTGTTGCTGCCTTACATCTGAAGTCAGCAGCAGAGGGGGAGCTTGGCCAGTTTTGTCGCTGCTCTGCAGAGGCTTGAGGCGGCTGTTGCTGCAAAGATGCTGGAGCCAGGAAGGGATGGGAAGGCTGCGGAGGGGCAGCACCTGCTGGCTCGGGGCCCTGCCGGCGCCTGGAGGACCCTGAAGCCCGCTGCTGAACTGGAGCGCCAGTCGGCAGAGTCATTTCTAGTTTAAATTACTTACTGGCATGGTGAATACAAATGGTCTGAGTTCACCAGGGATCTGCGGGCTCTGTGGTCACTCGTAACAGCTCCCAAACCTGACCATGTGTTCGTGGGCAAGGGCTATCAGGGTCCCGTCCGCCCCAGGTCACTGTTTATCCTGCACCTTCCTTCTCGGCGTGGGACCCTTCTGAGGGAAATAGATGCTGCAGTGGCTCATCAGTGAGGGTCCCTTACTGGTAAACTCTCTTGTCTTGTCTTCCATCTTGATGAATCGTCGTTTGAGTTTCTTGGCTTATGTGCCCCCTTTTCTCATATGTGTACGAGTTTTAGTTGGTACCTTCATCTCGAGGAGGAGTATGTTCTCTCTCTGCTCACTCTTCCCTCCCTTATTTTCACAACTGTCCCCTGAGCTGCTAAGTCCTTAGTCCAGAACCAGGTGTTTGTAGCCCAGAGCTCCCACCTGGTGATGACCTCAGGGATTTTGGAGAGCCAGTAAAGTAGCATGCTGTTGGCCCAAGCTATACTTCCAGAGCGGCAACTGTGGCTTTTTTCAGCCCCCTTTCAGGGACAGTGTTCCGCTGTCCTAGCTCCTGGTTTTGTGCAAACAGCCTGGCCCCAGTTATGCTGTGCTGGAGTGGGGTGCCTTAATCCCCTGCTCCATGGATGCAGATATGGCTACCTTTCTTGGCCAGGTTCCTGCTTACCACCTTGCATTTTGTTCCATTTCTCACCTATGCAGCTGTTTTTCTAGTTTTTGAGTGGTGATATGCCTCTCTTGAAAATATACATGTATGCACTAGCATTTTCTGTCACTGCTGTCTTTGGGGGAGAATGTGATTCAAAGTATGAATTTATAGCACACTTGACCAGTAACACGATTTATATTTATATGTGAAGTGTCAGAGAAAACACAGGTGCATGTGTGCACATGAGCACACACAACACACATACATATACGCACGCAGGAAGACTTAAAGGAACACATTTGCACAGTGTGGTGCCATCTTGCCTGAATTGGTTGAGGGCTAGCTTACTGTGGCCTAAAAACTCCGTCTAATTCACACTGTCTGAATCCTTTCCTTGCCTGTTCTGGGGAGTGGTATTTCTGGCTGTATTTATTTTTCATCCTTCACTCTTTTATGGAAGCCAACCAGCAGTCTTTCCCCCAAGCTCTTTATTCCATCCCCTGTGCATCCCCTCTCATTTTTAGAGGCCTCTTTCCCAGTGCCCACCTGGAGCTCCCCCATCTCCCACTTCCCCTTTGCCCTACCCCACCTGTCAGCAGCCCTCCTGCCCCAAACCAAGCAAACCCTCACATCTTCTGCTCTTCGTGTCCTATCTTTCCTGCCCCTCACAGTTTCTTGAAATAATTCTCCATATTATCATCTTTACTTCCCTACTTCTCTTCCTGTAATCAGTTAGAATCTACTTTCATCTCTTCTTTTTCTCTGAATTATTTGGGCAAACAATATCATCCCCTGAAGTGCTCCAAACCAAATTCACACTCTTCTCTAGACCAGTTTCTTCTTCTTTTCCCCTGGCTCAGTGAATGGTATACAGTAATTCAAGCAATATGCCCCTCGCCCTAGCAATTTTAAGTCACCTAAGAACTGTTTGCTAATAAAGTGGCACTGCCAGAATCTTAGACCTCACCTTTTTGGCACTTGATGACATCTGATAATACCTTTATGAAGGAAGGTAAGATAAAAATTGCTTTTCCCGTGTTAATAAAAGACAAATGAAGCTCTATGTTGTGAATCACTTGGCAAGTAAATCAGGATCAAGATTCAAGACTTTGCTCTTCCAGTTGAGTCTTTCTGTCATTGAGCACAGGCTCTCTGATGTGAAGTAAAGGAAATAGTGCACTAGTTTCTCTTGCAGGTCCTGGGTCTGTGAGTGAACGCTGGGTTAGCGCTGCTTCTCCTTGACTTGGTTGCATGACCCTGTGTGATCTGATGCATTTCGCCCTCCTAACCTGTATGTCCGCCTCTACTCTCTCCACTGGAGTGACAACCCAATATTTGCTCTTTCAACTCTCTCCATGTACTGGGAGAGGGGACATGCTTTTCGGTCACATTTGATCTAGATTGTTACCTATGCACTGATCCTTCCCTCGTGGTGTATTTTTCCCCTCCCTGAAGTCAGTGAACTTAGAATTGTGTTTTCTGTAAAGCTCATCCTGACTGCTCTATATGAATCTAAAATAATATTACCGAGTTTTGGGAAAAAAAAAACAATCTGGCTGAAACACAAAAAAACAGTATAAAAGTAATACTTGTTATGCACTATAGGAAACTTAGATAATTCAGGACAGAGTAAAAAGTAAGGAAAAAGAAAACCTCCATAATTGTCCCCACTAGGCGTAGTCCGCTAGGGTCTTCTGACCCTGCTGCACCAGCCACAGGGCTAAGGCCATGTAGCGCCTCAGTCTGCATACTGCCCCTCTCCTGTGAACTGCCAGTTCACGTCCAACTGCATAGCTGCATGAGTATGAATTTTCATGATGAATACTCCAATTAGAGCAGCATATTGCCACACAGTAAATGAGCTGCCTTCTAGTAAGCTAGACAGTAAGAAATTTGCTAAAAACATAAACGAGTGTTACTCTCTACACTGTTTTTGTCTTAGAAAATGTAATTACTTTTCAAGCAGTATTTTATTGATTAATGTTTTTATTTAAATGAATCAATAAGAAATATTTTTTTTACAGTCTTGAGTTTTAATTTCAAATATGGTAAATATCAAATACAAAACAAGAAAAGAAACTGAGTAGAAGTGGAATCTGACCAGTGTAGGTAGAACTCCTACAAACAAAAGGCCTTTGGTGTCCTCATTTTTAAGAGTTTAGGGCTTCAGAGACCAAAAAGCTTGAAAACTGCAAATCTAGAATAACCGCCCGGCCTTTTTGTTTTTCAAGGCATTGGTTTTGGTGCAGCCAAGTTGGTCCCCTGGTTTCCTCATAAGATTCAAGCTTAACAATTACCGAAAGGTACCATCATTATACCCTATCAGGGGGCATGATGTCAGGTTGCCCCCTGTGTGGGGCTGCCTTGTTTGATTCCTTGATTGACCTGGTGATAGGCAGATTATAGAGGCAGTTTTTCACTTTGTAATGAATAAGTTATCTGTTGGTAGATACTTTGAGACTTTCCTGTTTCCTATAACTGGTACCCCTTTAAAAATAGTTTTTAATTGGTTGTTGCTAGTACCTGGGAATGCTGTTGATTTCTGTATGTTTTATCCAGCAATCTTGCTGAATCCTCCCATTATTTCCAATCCACTTTCTTGGATTTTCTATGTAGACAGATATTTCAGCTATAAATAAAGGCTGTTTTCTTTCTTCCTTCATCTTGATAGTTATTATCTGCTGGGCTCACTAATATGTTCAATATAACTTGGACAGAAGTAGTTACAACTGGAATCTTTCTCTTGTTCCTGATTTTTTTTTTTTTTTTTTTGGTCTTCTCATCATTGAGTATCATGTTTGTCACATGTTTTTGGTAGGTAACTTTTTATCAATTTAAAATTTTTTTTCCTTATTTACTAAGAATTTGTATTGTGAAGGATGTTAAATTTTATCAAATTCTTCATTTATTGCTTCTTTTGAGATTATCATATTAAATAAAGTCCTTTCATTATTTAATATTTTCATTTACAATAATAAATTTCCTAATGGAACACCATGTGTACATTTAAATGATCAACTCCACTTGTTCAGTATTTTTAAATACACATTGTCATGTTGAATATGTCAGTATTTTATTTAGGATTTTGTGCCACTTAATAATTTTCCTTTCTCGATCGCTGAGGGCAGGGTCCCCATGTTATTTATCATGGTAACTCTTAGCAGGCATTCAATATAATATGGAATGAAGAACAGTTTTAGGAGAAGAATGGCCAGCCTTTGATGTCTGTGTGCTGCTTGTTGCCCTCAGTATACTTTCTTTCCTTGTCCAACACTCAGCATAGGGAACTCCCAGACATGGTGTTTCTCCAGGGCTGATTTGAGGAGCCAGTGGGATGGATCACCTGAAACCTGAAACGTTTTTTCATTCATTTAGTAAATAGATATGTAAAATTAGTTACAATTTCACAGAAAGTATTCTTAATGACTGCTTTGTTCTTAAAATTTTGTAAGTTTGTCTTAGTTGGTCCTTGCTAACTTGCAGCTAATAGGGTAGAGTGTGTCTTGGTTAATGTATTTCTGTTTTAGTATGCAATTATTTACTTTGTCGAATTTGCATTTTTTTTCCTTCTTGCTGTTGGAGTATGTCCCTGCTTTGCTAAATTTACTGGCTCAAAAGTGCTCAGAAGTGTAAAAGTACCGATAATGTGTTAACATGTGCATACTACACTCACTCCTATGTGAGATAGAAACAGAATGCACAGTGTGCTGCTGGGTGGGGTAGGGACTCCCTGGGTGTTGTATGCTAAAAATGCCAGGAAGACTTGGGCATGCCTTCTGGAGGCTGCCTAGTGGCACATCCAGGAGAATTTGTCTGTACATCTCTGCAGAGGCCCAACCTTGTATTGTTGGAACTGAAACAGAGCAGTTTTGAAAACCAGATGTAGGCTGTCAGGATTTCTTAAGACT